AAATTCTTGCACAGCGTTCGCAGGGGAAGGAGGTCTTAGCCTTTCCTACAGGCCCTTTGCCCCGTTTCATTGAGATGATTCCTCTTGTGAGACGGGCTGGCCTGTGCGTGTGCCACAGAGAAGCCTTAGTAACCGCAAGTGTGGTCTTTTATTGTTGCTTCAAGCAGGTTGACTGCTGGAGTTAGTTTTGTATTTTAAAGTTTTGGGGATTTCCCTTTTTTGGTTAATCCTCACCAGAGGATATTTTTTCCCATTGAATTTTTTTTTTAGAAAGTGGAAAGGAAGGAGGGATGGGGAGAGAGAAAAACATCGATGTGAGAGAGACACATCAATTGGTTGCCTCCTGCATGTGCCCCGACCGGGGCGGGGATTGAACCTGCAACCCAGATACGTGCCCTTGACCCAGAATCAAACCCGTGACCCTTCAGGGCACAGGCTGGCACTGTGATCACTGAGCTGCGCCCAGGGCTGGGGATTTATTTTTTTCTCAAACCCAACACCCTGCACAGAAGCTTCCCTTGAAGGCAGCGCAGGTGCCCGCCCTCCTTCCCGCCCTCGCAGCTCCCACGTCCTGGTGGGCGGGTGGCCTGTGTCCCGCGTAGGCTCCACCCAGATCCTGTCACCTCTTAGTTCTGAGAAATTAAGCAGCCAGTGGCGGCTTCACAGGGGGCAGCACTGTTTGTGAATTGGAACACGAATGATTGTCATTTGAGCTAGATTTTTACTTATTCATTTTTAAACATATATATATATATATATATATTAACATTTTTATTGATTTCAGAGAGGAAGGGAGAGGGAGAGAGAGATAGAAACATCAGTGATGGGAGAGAATCATTGATCGGCTGCCTCCTGCACGCCCCCCACTGGGAATGGAGCCCGCAACTCAGGCATGTCCCTGACCGGGAATCGAACCGGGACCTCCTTGTTCAAAGATCGATGCTCATCCCCTGAGCCGGGCTGAGCTAGATTTTTAAAGCGACTCGGAGGTCAGAACTCTCTCTTTACGTCCCCCTTCCGTCCACTTACCCCGCTGCTGCTCACACTCGGGGACGGCTGAGCGTGACGCCCGAGATGCAGCTCGCGGCCTCACGTTCCCGGTAGGTGAGACGGTGGTTTCTGAGTGAAGGGCGCCCGAGCTGCCATTGCTCAGATGAGGAGACTGAGGCTCAGGGCAGAGCTGGGGTGCCCAGTGGCTGCTGCCCGGCCCAACGCTTCCTGTCTTTCTCCGAAGCAGTAGAAATCCAGGTCTTTTGTCTGTTGGTCATTATTATGACAGCGTCACCATGGAAACGACTGTACATGAGTCCTCAAAACAGACAGTTATTTCTGCTTTTACCAGCGCGGAGTCTGCCGAAAGGAGGGCTGTGCCCGGGCTGAGAGCTCTTGGACCAGGTGGTGATGGCGGCCGCCACCCCTGGTGGCCCCTACTGTGCGCTCCCCCCCCGCCGGTGAAGTGGCCGCAGCGAGGCTGGCGGGTGTTTACTGCACATCAGGCTGTGCTGCGCTCACCGCGCATCCTCAGGGCTGCCCTGCGATGGAGGCTGGTGCTGTTCATGTTACAGACCGGGGACCAGGCATTTGTTTCCCGGGGCGGCTGTGACAAAGGGCCACGTGTTTGGCTTAAGACAACACAGATATGCCCGCCAGCGTGGCTCATGGTTGGGCATTGACCTGTGATCCCGGCCAGGGCACAGGCCCGGGTTGCGGGCTCGATCCCCAGTGGGGGGCGTGCAGGAGGCAGCGGGTCAGATTCTCTCTCACCATGGATGTGCCTCTCTCTCTTTCTCTCTCCCTTCCTCTCTGACATCAACTAAAAATATATTTAAAAACCCAAATATATTCTTTTACAACTTGAGCTCAGAGGCCTGAAATCCAGGTACTGGTTGGGCTGTGTTCCTTCCGGAAGCTTCAGGGGAGAATCTAGAGGCGCCTGCACTCCGACCGCCGCTTCCCTCACCCCCTCTCTTCTCCCGCCTTTGGCCTCCCTGTTCCGTCTCAGGAGAACCTGGTGGTCACAGCGGCCCGTCGAAGAGACCGGGACAGTCCCTGCCGTCGGGTCCTCAGTCCCATCTGCAAAGGCTTTTGCCGTGAGAGGCAGCGTGTGCAGGCTGCGAGGACTGGGATGCAGACACCTGGAGGGGCAGTTGTTTTTTACCACATAGAGGCACAGAGAGGTTAAGACACTGCCCCAGGGTCACACAGCCAGGCAGAACGAGGATAGAGGCTCCGATAGTCTCCTGCCCATGGACCTGTGCTCTTTCTCAGTCTTCACAGAAGCCTTGAGCACTAAGAACTCTCGTGGGAATTGTGGGCGAGCCAGGTCCATCTGCCAGGGCTGGGTGGGGTGCTCCAGACCCAGCCACCCTCTGCCGGGGAGGCTCCGGATGTCTGGGGGGCAGAGCCAGGACGAAGTCTCCCAACAGGGGACGGCCAGCGCCAAGGCCCTGGAACCAGACCCTGAGGCCCCATGTGGCCGGGGCAGAGCAGGGAGAGGCGGGAGCGGGGCGGGGAGCTCA